GGTTTTCCCCAGCATTCCCAAAGGCACAGGAATGGTCCCAAACATTCCCAAAGGCACAGGAATGGTCCCAAACATTCCCAAAGGCACAGGAATGGTCCCAAACATTCCCAAAGGCACAGGAATGGTTTGTCCCCAGGAATGTTTTTTCCCCAGCATTCCCAAGGCACAGGAGTGGTTTTTCCCCTGGAATGGTTTTTCCCCAGGAATGGTTTTTCCCCTGGAATGGTTTTTCCCCTGGAATGGTTTTCCCCAGCATTCCCAAGGCACAGGAATGTTTTGTCACCAAGAATTGTTTGTTCCCAGCATTCCCAAAGGCACAGGAATGGTTTTTCCCCAGGAATGGTTTTTCCCCAGCATTCCCAAAGGAATGTTTTGTCCCCAGGAATGGTTTTTCCCCTGGAATGTTTGTCCCCAGCATTCCCAAAGGCAGCTCTGGAGCAGAGCCCACACAAAGCCGTCCCCTGTCACTCCCCGAGCCGGTACCTGGCACCACGGCCGCTGCCACTGTCCCCTCCTGGTCCCTTTGTGCTCCCAGGATTTCTGAGCCGCTGCAGAGCTCCAGGGAAGCGCTCTCCCCGTGACCACAACAATCCTTTATTCTCTTTGCCGGCTCCGAAGGGGGAATTTGGGAATTGGTGCCAGGCTCCGGAGCGAGGTGGCGCGGTGACCGCGGGGACAGCGCTGGCAGGACGCTCCTCAGGGCCTGCAGGTGACCAAAAACCACTCTGGGTTCTCCTCTCCAGACTGAAGTGATCCCTGGCAGAGGGGAAGGGACAGGAAAACACCCTGGAGCAGCGGCGGGTCCTTCTCCAATCCCACATTCCCAGACTGATGGGAAAGGCACCAAATCACCAGCAGGGATAAAAACACCCACAAGGTCCAGTTAAGGTTTGGTCACATCCCCCTCAAATCCCACCCAAGAGCCAGCTCTGCTCATTAATCCTAAATTAAAAACAGGGAATTGGGATTCAAGGGTCTGATCCTCCTTCTTCATGCAGATCCCAGCAGGATTCACTGCTAAGGTTTGGGAAGGAAAATGGGATCCAGGGATTCACTGCTAATGTTTGGGAAGGAAAATGGGATCCAGGGATTCACTCCTCATGTTTGGGAAGGAAAATGGGATCCAGGGATTCACTCCTCATGTTTGGGAAGGAAAATGGGATCCAGGGATTCACTCCTCATGTTTGGGAAGGAAAATGGGATCCAGGGATTCACTCCTCATGTTTGGGAAGGAAAATGGGATCCAGGGATTCACTCCTAATGTTTGGGAAGGAAAATGGGATCCAGGGATTCACTGCTAATGTTTGGGAAGGAAAATGGGATCCAGGGATTCACTCCTAAGGTTTGGGAAGGAAAATGGGATCCAGGGATTCACTGCTAATGTTTGGGAAGTGTGATCCAGGGATTCACTGCTAATGTTTGGGAAGGAAAATGGGATCCCAAGATTCACTGCTAATATTTGGGAAGGAAAATTTGATCCAGGGATTTTCTGGCCCCACTTCACCCAAAGTCTCAAGCCATAAATCCAAGCAGGATTTCGGTGCTGCCCCACAACTCTGTGCAGGTTTTTCCAGGAAAAGAGAACACGAACGTCTCCCGAGTGCTGACAACCTGCAGGGATTGGAGCCACTGCACTCATCATATTCCTGCTTCTCCTGAAATCCCAGCTCCTGCAGACAAACCACCACGGAGAACTTCAGCTCCCAACAAAACAAAGGTGGGGGAAAAAAAAAATCCTCAGAGCAGCTCCCTCGATTGAAGGGAAAAACTTTCACACCTCACAAAGCAATCCCAGCACCTGGCATTGTTTTAAGTTGCTATTTCCAAATAAACCTCATGGCTTTGCCAGAGGCCATCCTGAATTCCAGCCCTGGCCAGGATCAGAATTCCTCTGCGAGTCACCAAAAGCTGGCTCTGAAATCCCCAGACCAACAACCCCCAAGGTTTCCCTGGATGAAGGACGGGGCCAGTCCTTGGGATGTGGACCAAGAGCATTTTCTTTTCGCTCAGAGAGGAGGAAAAAGCGTTCAGAGCTGCAAAGCAGGCACCTGCTCCTTGCTGTGTGTGTTCCAGCCCCGAGACAAAGGCGCCTTTGGGACCAAACTCCTCCTTATTTTGCCAGACAATATTCACAGGGGTCTGTTTCTCCTCTTCTGCAGGCTGGCAAAAACGTTAAGCAAATATTTGGGAACGGCGAGAGGAACTGACATTTTAGGATATGAAAACAAGGAGGGAAGGGCACAAATGAAGGGGGAACCTCCGAGGAACACCAGGAGGACAAAGAGGAATGGAATGGTGGCCTCAGAGTTCCACTGGGGCTTTGTTTTCTGAGCAAGCAACTCCACAGCTCAGAGGGTTGGGCACACCAGCAGCTTGTGCAGCTCCACGAGACGGGATCAGCACAAGGAACAGGACAGGTTTCACATCACCACCCTCAGATAACCCAGAGCTGGGGCACAGAACTCTGAAAAAACCCTGTGTTTTACCATTTTCCCGTTCTTTATGGCGAGATCGTGCAGATCCACGTTTGACTAACTTTAAAACTTCCCTCTGCTTCTTTAAAAGCCAGGGTTGCTCCCTGATGGTTTCCATCCCCTGTTCTCACATGGAGCTCTGAGACTGAACAATGATGGAGAAATCAGCCCTGAGAAGAGCTGAGAGCTGCTCACGAGCTCCTCGTGACTCCCGAGCTCCACGCGCAGCTTTAATCACGGCTTCAGCTGGGCTGGGGGGTCACAGGACTTGTCAGGGTTTTAGCTGGGCTTGGGCTGGGTTTTAGCAGGGTTTGGGCTGGGTTTTAGCTGATTTTTGGGCTGGGTTTTGGCTGGGTTTGGGGCTGGGTTTTAGCTCAGCCCATGTCCTAGGCCATGAGCCACCATCACCTGATGGGATTTTTTCCCAAAGAGAGGAAATCCAGCCCCTTTGGGCTTTCTGTGTCTCCCTGCTCCTTCAATTCCCTGCTCACCCCAAGCACCACCTCCCACCCCTCTGATCCTTTCCCTCCTGGCTCCCTCAGAGCCCCAAATCCATCCAAAAACCACCCCAAATCCATCCAAAAATGCCCCAAATCCATCCAGAAATGCCCCAAATCCATCCAGAAATGCCCCAAGTCCATCCAGAAACGCCCCAAGTCCATCCAAAAACGCCCCAAGTCCATCCAGAAACGCCCCAAGTCCATCCAGAAACGCCCCAAATCCATCCAGAAACGCCCCAAATCCATCCAAAACCACCCCAAATTTCACCCAGCGGGTGAAGCTTTGCTTTGATGTTGCCTCAGCCAGGACGAGGGGGCAGCAAGACATTCAAGATCACCTAAAGCAGCCCCTCCTGGGGGGTGAACACAAACCCAGAGCTCCTCAGCCACCCCCACCGTGCCAAAAGCACTGAAAGGAGTAAATCAGAGGAGGAAAAGCGACCCTGAGCGCAGCACTGAGGTGATTATTTTAAATTATTTCGAGGAGTCTGCGCTCCCAACGCCATCAGCAGCCAGCAGAGCCCAGCCACCACCCCGAGCTCCGAGCTGAGGCTTTGGCTGGAGAGAAAAGAGATGGAAGTCAGGGAGAAAAAAAAACCCCAAATCAGCCCTCCTCCCCTCCCCAGCACTGCCACTTGAGTGCTGCAGCGAAATAAACAGTTTGGGGGAAAGGTTACCAAGAGTTTATGCTAAACATCATTTCCGAGGGGCTCTGGAGGAGATGAAGTAGAGCCAGGGTTGTATTTTTAAACTCAGGCATCAGCCCAGTGATTCCAGCCTCTCCCACTGTGGATGCAGCACGGGCATGGACAAAAATCTGCCGGTTAAAACTGGTTTTAGCTCCCTCAAAACGCTGGTGGGGTTTGTCTGGAGAGTGTGGAGGTGCCTACAACAGCTTTACTCCGGGGATTATGAGCGGTGAAACTCACGGCGCTGGTTCTGCACATTCCAGCAGCCTCCTGATGCTGGGGGACACCTGGAGCCTCCACTGGGACCTCGTGGAGAGGACACAGCACCCACACAAGTCCCCGTTTGTAGGGGAACATCCCCAAAGCAGCCACAGCAAGGGGAACTCCCCTAAATCCCAAGATCGGTTTATACCCCGAGATACAGGGATTTAAATCCCCTGTAAAGCTCTCATTTAATTTGCTGTTAATTCTGGAGATTCTTGTTATCCATATCAAATTTCTAATCTTTTTTTTTTTTCTCTCCCCCAATCCCAAGTCCCATAATCCAAGCGCTCTTGGCTTCCACGGTGCTCGGTGGCAACAAAAATCCAGAGTTTTAGGCACAGCCTGGAATCCCAGGGCTGGCTCCAGCACCACTCCCCACGAGAGGAAACAGCTCTGGGTGATGCCAGAAAATCCAGGTAGCATCACATATTTAAAAACAAAACAAAACAAAAAAGACAAAATGAAAATTGCAGGTGGGGCGAATAACAGAAAAGGTTTCGAGGCTGGTACATGTTTTTCAGGAGTGTCTGCATGACTTCAGTGCCCAGGTCATTTGGGTGCTTTTGAAGTTCTTACTCATGTTCTATTTCTATAAGTTTGGAGATATTCTCATGTTACACACGTAAAGGCTGCTCTCCTGAGCCACATCCAGAACAGAAATGCCAAAAAATGGGATTTGGAGCCTTTCTCTGTGACAAAAGCAGGTCCAGGTGAGCACCAGGAAAGCTGTTCCTGATGTGTTTCCCTTGCAATTTTGTTTGTTTGAAACATAAAAATGGAAATGGAGCATCTTGCCGGGTCTGGCCATCTCCAGCGTAAGATTAATAAGTTTATTTTATTGCTCTTCCCTTCCTCCTAAAGCTGTCATCGGCGGGAAGACAAATGAGTCTGGTAGTTTATGTTTATCATAAACAACTACAGCGTTTTACCAGCAAAATCTCGAGTCCTGCCGAAGCCAGGAATCCCTGGAATTATCCCCATTTAGGGACGGCTCTTGAGGCACCAAACCCAAACAGAACCTACAACCAGGTAAAGAAAACTTCCCTTTCCTTGCCTCCTAAGGATTCACTGACCTGCAATCCTTCAGGATTTCTGGGAGTCCATCCCGCTCCCCAAACTCTCCGCCCGTTCGGGAAGCTCCAGAGCAGCGCGGTCACCGCGGGTGTCCCTGCGAGAACGGCAAGTTTGGGAAGAGCTCCGGGCTCTGTCCTGGGGAGGCTCGGGGAGGGCAGGACCCCCTCCCACAGCCCCACCTGCTCCCTCTCCGCTTCCCGACATGCGGGGTTTCGCTTTATTTTTGGTTTATTTTTGTTGTTTCCCCGCGGCAGCTCCAGCGTAGGAGCATCAGACCCGGAGCGCCTCCTCCTCCTCCTCCTCCTCCTCCGGGCAGCGCCTCCGTCCCGGCCGGAGCCGGCGGGCAGCGCTCGGTGCTGGCTGCGCCTGGGACCCCCTAAAGCCCCCCCGATGTCCCCGGAACCCCCCGGGGAA